ATTCTTTCCCCCTGCTTCAACAACCATATTGCATAACGTCATCCGTTCTTTCATCTACCCGATACAAGTAAGCAGAAAATTAAATTCATGATTTTCCTCCACAAGTAATCATACTATCTCAAACGTTTTTCTAAGGAACTAATGTTAAAAGTTAGGTGAAAATTTGAGGTTCACTTACATTTAAACTTTCAACAGTTGTTCCAACAAACTCCATGGATTTATATGTTGCACCGGCTACAGATATTTCACCAATGATCTGCTCAGCGGGAACCATTTTTAGAAAAACACATACGGAAGAGAATGAATAACAAAAGAATGCCCACAGGAACATAATTATGACTTCAAGCTTGTCAAAATGGAATAATTGCCCAAAAGTATACATCTTACCTGCAAAATCAAATCCTTCGCAAGCAGATAAGGAGGCATTTCACCATCCATTACAAATCTCAAAGTTGGTGGGACCTGCAATCGAATATGCAACAGAATATACCACAAAATTAATCGTAATTTTGTAAGTACCAGCCTTCAACTCATACAAGTTGTAATTTTGTAAGAAAATGCCATGATGGTCTATAAGATTAAACACATGCCTAGAGCAACGAACATGAAGAAGACAGATCATCAAAATCAAATAGCTAAAACTTCGTCAAAAATCCTTCAATGAATTTGGATAACAGAGTTGGAGCACCTTAAAACTCTCATTCAAAAAAAGAACATCTATAACTATATGGTACGCATAATGCTACTAACCGAAAGTAGCCAAATACTAATAGGAAACCAAATGAAAAATCAAAACGCACCAAAAAACACACGCACACGCATGCACATACATTTTTTAATAAAGTAAAACATTAAAGTAAAATTAATAAACCTTTAGCAGAAGATTGCCGGTGCCTAATACAAAGCCAGCATCTGTATTTCCTATTCCTGTAGCAAATTGACCGAATGCTCCGGCAGTACAGGTGTGAGAATCTGTCCCTAACAAAACCTGAAGGCAAAGATAAAAGATAATACCAGCTCGAGAGCCTGACACATGAATTAAAGTTTCACAATTCAGAAATTATGGTAGGGAACCGATACCTCTCCGGGCCTGCAGTGACCCTCTTGGGCAAGTGCAACATGGCATACTCCTTTATAATCAGGGTTTGCCTGCAATGTTGTGAATTAGGATTCAGCTCAATGAGCAAAGAATATACCCCTAGTTCTTCAGAATATCGGACTAGAAATGAGTGACAATATAACGAGTGCCATACCTTAAAATTACCAAGATCTTTTATATCATAAAAATACTTAATATTTTGCTCCGCCCAGAAATCCCTCAAAATATCAACATTACGATTCGCTCGTTCATCACTGGTGAATATGTAATGGTCAGGTATAATAACAACCTTTTCACGGTCCCAAACCTTCAATACCGAAAGGATCGTACACGGTTAATGAATACAGCCACAGCAAAAGACACACAGAACTAACAGCAGTGACATAGCTATTGTTACTTCATGAAATCAAAAATTACAATTTCAGAATGCTAATTATTTTAAGCTAGAGCTCAAATGCGCAATTATGCACAAAACTATCCAACAAGTAAGATAGAAGATGAACAGAATACCTTTGCATTTTCACCAAATTCTTTCTTGAAGATACCAATGGAACCAGGACCACAAACATCATGTGTCATCAAAATATCAACATTAACCCAAACATTATCACCTGGACTCAACTGTGGCTTCTCAGAGGCTCTTGCAAGAATCTTCTCTGTCATTGTCATTCCAGTCTTCACCTGAGGAAAAAGAACCCAACTTTTTCATAAATCAACAAAAACCCATTAACCTATCAATGAAGATTAAAAAGTGAAAATTAAATATAAAAAAAAGGAACTAACAGAGCCAGTGGTAGCTGGTTTACGCTCAGATTGCTGGGGTGCCATGACAGAGACGATTTTCTTCGAAACTTGTTTATTGCATTTCTGAATGGCAATTTGAGATGTTGAGGGAAAAGCAGAAAAGCCTGAACCTTTCTGGCCATAAAAAGGGGTTTTCTTTTTCTTATTAGTCAAAATAACTACACCAATCAAGATCATAAAATGGGTAATTGAAAGCACTGACCTTGTTCCTGATGAATGAAGAAACTGGGGAAGGAGAAATCAACGAGGAAGCCATCAGATTCAGCTCTTAGTTACTTTACCAGGGAAGCGGTAAAAAAGGGACATTGTAGTTGATTTTGTGTTTGTTTCTGGAGAAAAATAAAAATAAAAGAAAGGAATAGAAGCGGCGCGAGCAGAGAGAGAAATACACACGCAAAAGTACACCAGCTCTTCACAAAATGATATACCACTTAAGCACTTTGGATGAATTTTCAAAAGTCTAAGTGTAAACTACATTTTTTGTCACTCGACTTCATCTATATTTCTATTTTTCTCGATCAACTTAAAATATATTCAATTTCATCATTTTTTTTTTAATTATTTATGCTTTGATGACTCAACTGTTAGGTGGCGTTTGGTTCGCTGGAATGTTTTTGAGGGAATTAGAATATGTGAAGGAATTAGAATCTGAATTTGAAACCTGTTTAGTTGGCAGGAAATTGAATTGGAATCCAATTTCATATTCTGTTTGGTTCGCAGACATGTCAGATGAATTTGATTTCTATGATGTAAAATGACAGAATTACCCTTCTTGTTTTTTTGCTTAATTTTAGTTTGTTTTATAACTTACATGTAGTAATATATTATAAAAATTTAAAAAATATTAAATTTTCATTTTATTGATTGATTATTTATTTTAATAAATTATAAAAATTATACTAATAAACATCATAAGTTAAAATCATCCTAATTAGGGATGGCTATAGGTCGGATTTTTGGTCGACCTGACCCGACCCGAGAACAATGGAACCTCCACCCGAGACCCGACCCGAATATCACACTTAAAAAAACCCAACCCGAACCCGACCCGAATATCACACTTAAAAAACCCGACCGACCCGAATATCAAACTTAAAAAACCTCGACCCAAACCCGAATTTAAAAAAAAAATCAACCCAATCCCAAAATTTTTTGAAAAAAAACCCGACCCGACCCAAATATCACACTTACAAAAACCCGAACCCGAACCCGAATTTTTTTTTAAAAAAATTCAACCCGAATACCAAAAGATTAATGAGAGTAGTATGGTCAAATTTCACATTCCCTCCTCCAAAGAATTTCAATTCTATCATGTTATGGGAAATTTACTTTCCCTCCCTTGATGGAATTGGATTCCAATTCCCCCTTTGAAAACTTGAACCAAACATGGAAAAGTGGTAGAATTAGATTCTAATTCCCCTTAATTCCAAAGGATTCCAACGAACCAAATGCCACCTTAGTGTCTAATGGTAGCACCAAAACGCTGTGTTCTGAAATTTCTTATTCTAAAATTTTCTTATAGTTTTAGATAAATTACTCATTTAGTACCTAAAACTATCAATTTTAGTCTATTTTAGTATCTAAACTTTCAATTTTTCCAAATTATATCTAACATTTAGTTTTCATTTCATTTTAGTATTACGATGCTCAAAATTTAACAATTTTAACACCTATACTATAAGTTTTAATCCGTTTTAGTACCTAAACTTTTAATTTTTTTCAAAACTTAATGTTAAATTTTGAACGAGGGTACTAAAATGAAACACAAATTAAAGTTTCTAACGAAAAAGTACTAAAATGAAACAAAAATAAACTCTACATATGGTTTTGAAAAAAAAGAAAACTTTAAACACTAAAGGGTCGTTTATTTATTGCTGAATGGAACCATTCAGTGTTGAATGCTGAACCGTTCAGCATTCAGCGTGTTTGATTCTCACATCTGAATGAAGACTATACTGAATGAAACATCAAAACACTGCTAAATGATTCAGCATTAAAGTACATTTTGAATCATTAAGCACCCGGTATTTTACCATAATACATATTTTTTCACATGTCTTATTAAACAATCATATCTTATAATATAATAAATCATTATGAAGGTAAAATGAAAATATTCATAATTCAGATTGTACATTCAGAACCATTATCAAACAACATGTCACATTCAGAGCCAATTCATACAGAGCCATTGAATCATTCAGGCCATTGAATCATTCAACGCTTAATCATTTTATTTTATCAAACAGCCCCTAAAACAAAACCAAAACTAATACTCTAGGTACTAACGTGTAATTTACCCTATAATTTTATCCTTTTTCTTCTCAATGGCTGAAATTTGTCATCCTTTATAACCTCCTTATAGTTCGAATATGAAAAAAAATATTTCATATTAGTAAATCAAAAGGGAAATTCGGATTACGACACAATATCGTCGGACAAAACTTCCCTCGAAGACATGGTCATATGAATGCTAATGTCGTTAAACGCTATGTTGTTAAGGTAATGCAAGATTCGGTTTCCATCTTGCAATATTTGTGCAGTGTTGCTCTCGTAGTCTTCTTTGTCGAAAACTCCCTATTGCTTCTCGAGGTAAGCCTTTGCGGTTCCGGTTCCATAATCCTTGTATTAACCGAAGAGATGCTCTCCCTCGATCGTCTTTCGAACTACATCCTCCATTTCCTTCTTCATAACCGGATTGCTCGTCTTGGCTCTGTATACCAAAAGGGGCAGTAACCATTTCACTTTTCTTGCTCCATCTTTTCCTCCACAACTATTCCGGTTCCACGATAAGACCTTCGGGGGCTCTTAAGAATCCCATCTTAACCACCTATATTACCTTAAACGCTTCCATCATCGCTTTGGTTTTCATAGCACATCGATTACCTTCCAGGGTACACGTTTTCACAACTGTGCTATTTACGTTACAAATCTTCCGGTTGGCACCACTGGTCACCTACTGTATCAAGAAATACGCTTTCTGGTTGCACCTTTTGTTTTCTTTCGGGTTGTAAGGATTCAAGAATACAAGTTTGAGATTAATGGCTTTCAGAAATGCAGTTCAATGCAAGTTAACAATAAACGAAATCACAACGTATGGATCAAAACTCGATAATTATATCGAAAAGATTGAAAGCAATGAGTCTAATTATACAACAAAAACAAGAACTTAATTCGTTAATCATTAGACACAAGTATGGAACACAGACCTCATTGTTCCATTCTCTCCATTGTGACTACTTATAGCTTCAGCTATTCTATTCTTGTTTCTTAACGGATTCAGAAGACGTTGAAGCTCCCCCCATTGGCTGGCTTACGCTAGCTTTAGCATCAGCAAGAAACTTTGGATCCGGCTCATGCTTATCCGCAGGTTCCTTCATTGCCATATATATATAGAATGCAATAACAATATTGACCGAGATAACAGCAACGAACCCGCTTACCAGTGTCATAGCATGGGGAGATAAATTTGATGAACCTATTACGGGAAAAAAAAACATGTTTCTCGTTCAATTAACTGAATTATATAGCATAAAAGAACAGATCAACAATGAAACCCGATGTTTTCACAGTATTTATACACACTAATATTAGAAAAAGGTGGTTTTCAACTACTTTCGAATGTTATTCTGCAAAAATTGCCAACGGCCAGTCCACTAGGTGCAGGATTAAAATGGATAAACTACAAAAAACCATCATACGGATTTCACACCTTCGCGCATCTAAATTATTCAACAGTAAAGAGCTCTAAGCTTCAAAAGTGACAGTGTTCGTGTTTACTTTCTCGTAGACAGATTACTAAATTATGTTCTTATTAAGGCACTCACGGGGAGCTTTACACTAACCGGTTCCGATACAATATAGCAGCATACAGATTTCACACCTTTGTGCATCTAAATTATTAAACTCAACAAAGAGCTCCACGTTTCGAAAGTTATAGTGTTTGTGTTTACTTTCTCGTAGACATTACTAAACTATGTTCTTATTAAGGCACTTATTGAGCTCTAGACTAACCAGTTCTGATACATAAGCACTGATCACTGTTTTACAGATAACATGTAGTTGAAATTTCCAAAACCAGTAGGGTTCAGTTGTATGTTTAAGCTTAAAACCAGTAAAGAGATGAATCACTCAAACACGGGGGACTTAGACTAATTAGTCCATGCAAGTTTAAACTCAAATCCCACATATCCCAGATTATGGCCTACTTAGTAATCCCTTCCCTTATCCCGGACTGTGGTCTCTAATTAGTTCATGCTGTTTCCTTTGAGACACAGCATCCGACAAGTTTCAGTTCAAACTTCAAATCCTAGCATCTTTAACCCCTTCGACCTTCACTTATACCAGACTATTGTCTAATTAGTTCAGAGATTACATCCAACAAGTTTAAGCTCGAAACCTAATAACCACAACCCCTTCTCTCATATAGGACTGTGGTCTAATTAGCTCATGATATATCCTCTGAGACGAGGCATACGACAAGGTTACGTTCGAACTACAAATCCTCACATAGGTTTGTAATCATAGATTTGTGGTGTCATTTCATTCATACATACCCATTTTTTTAACACTCAAATGGAAATAAGCCTCTGCCCAATCTGGACTGTAGTATTTGCCCATACCTGTCCAGAATTTCTTGTCCAAAAAAAAAAAATCCTCACATAGGTGACCCCTTCGCTTATACCGTACTAGTGTCTAATTAGTTCCAAGGTGACATCCACCAAGTTTACGCTGAAAACCTAATATCCGCAACCCCTCCGCTCGATCCGGAATTAAGTCTAATTAGTTCATGCAATCTTCTCTAAGAGATGATATCCGCTCGAACCCGAAAATCAGTAACCCTTTCTCTTGCCTCAAACACCAGTCTCATTTGTTAACATAACATAATGCCAAAACTAGGTTAAATGCACCCAGAAATTAAAATAAAATAGGAAAATAATAAAAAATTGAAGCAACCTAATAGATTACATAAATAGAAAACAAACAATATTCAACTTCTAAATTAAAATTAAACAAAAAAAAACCTTTTTTTTGAGAGACTAAATATAGAAAAAAGGGGGAATTAATGGGTCTTACCAGGAAGTAAATTATGATTAAAACCGTACAAGATTGCAAGAGGAGCTATCCACATGAACATTGATGCGATGAAGAATTTCTTAATTACTGAAGCAGACATTTTTCAATCTAAAAAAGGGGGCAAATCAGACGAAATCTATTGAATACATATAATTTATCATCGATTCTAAGAAACTGAAAATTAAGGGCTTCAAATAGCGGCCGTCGCCGTCGCCGCTAAATGCCTCAAATAGGGTTTCGAAAATTACCTTATTTAATTATCTGGTCAGTCGGAAACTCGATGGCGGAGAGCCGATATTGGGTCAGTAAACTTTTAAAGGAGATTTTAGAAAATATTTTAGGTAAACTATGCGGATAGTCCCTATTTTTTAGGTTTTAACCGAATTTGGTCACTAATTTAAAAATTAAGGGGAAATAGTCTATAACGTTATTGATCCGTTTAATTTTAGTCCCTCATCTATTAATTTTTGTTAACCTCCTTTTGCTTAATTCCATAACATGGCTAAGGGACTAAAATCGAACTGGACTTAACAGCTGAGGGACTAAAATCGAATGAATCAATAATGTTAGAGACTAAAATTGAACATATTGATAATGTTGGGACCATTCCCCTTTAATTTTTAAATTAGTGACCAAATTCGGTCAAACTGAAAACATAGTGAACTATCTGCATAGTTTACCCAATTTTTTTAATGTGTATAACTTTAGCCCTAATGACATTTTTGACCCCCTAGTTTTTTAAAAAATTACTTTAGTCCTTTTTTTTGAATTTTTGGTTTAGTTGTATATGAATTGTGGTAGTAAACTTTAACCCAAATTCTAATGTTTAGTTTAATTGGGAAACAAAAACCTATTCTTCACGTTTCTTGGAAAACAAGTTAATTTTCTTATAAATTTTATGCGCAGAAACTTTTTTTCCTGACTACTTTTGTTTTCCTTTTCAAATTTCAATGACGGTGCAAGCTACCATGACAAAAAGAAGAAAGGAATCGCCATTGACATCAAGGGTTGATGAACTTCCTGCACATATCTTGAGATCAATCTTCCACAGGATAAATTTCAATGATCTTGTTCAAGCCAAATCCGTTTGTCGTTCATGGAACTTACTTGGAGACGAGCTTACTTCAAAGATGCCATGGCTCATGCTTCCTTCCAAGAAACAGGTTGAGGAAGGAGATGGTATTAACGTTAACAACAATGGCTACCATGGGTTTTTGAATCTCATGGAAAATCATCTTTATAGCTTGAAGACGACGCCCAAGGAGTTTAGTGAATGTTGCTGCATTGGTTCTTCACATGGATGGTTGGTTTTCTTGCAAGAGAAGGCAGTCCCGTTTCTGTTTAACCCTTTCAAGCAAGTGAAGATCGAACTCCCTTCTGTCGATCGTCTGCTAGGGTTGGAAAAGATGGTACGAAACGTTGATGGTGAATTCGAACTTAATTACTCCAATGTCGTAAAAGGATCTCGTAGGTTTATGTTTAAGTTGTGTCATGGGAAACAGTAAGTACGAGAATGTTTAATTCAGAAAGCGATTCTGAACGACAATGGAAACTGCGGTCTGGTTTTGCTTTGTAATAATGGTGAGGAGATTGCATATAATGCAATTGGAAGCGATTATTGGACTGTTCTTGACGTTCTTCATCCACCCTATCAGGATATTATATGTCATCGAAACCGTCTCTATGCTTTGAGCGACAAAAACAGTATCAAAGTCTGGGATTTAAACATCGGAGGCAACCATGTCGTCAAAAAGTCCGACTTCGTTTATGCTTTTCCCGAAAAGTCGCTTGCCGAAGAAAAATCGTTGAGAGATGTTTGCACCTGCAGGTTTTACTTGGTTGAATCGTGTGGGGATCTTTTGTTTGTGGTGAGGTTCATTGGGGATTATGTGGATTGGGATGGGACATTGCTACATGAACATGATCTTTTGACAGAAGCCAGCAATCACCCTAAGGTTTGTCCTTTCAGGATCTTGTTCCATGTTTACAAGAGGGATTTTAATGAGCTCAAGTGGGTGGAGATGGATACTTTAGGTGACCGCGCTCTGTTCTTGGGCAGAAATTAGTCGGTTTCGGTGTCTACTAGGTGTTTTCTGAACTGCGAAAAGGATTGCATTTATTTCAGTGATGATTGCTGGGAGAGGATGGAAGAAGATTACTTGTATGGAGAGCTTGATATGGGGATATACAACTTGAAAGGTGGAAGCTTGAAGCCAGTTTTTGAATTTTCTTCGGACAAGATTCAGCCAGACCCAGCCATGTTTGAATCCTAGACAGTCTGCAACTATTTTTTTTTTGGCATGAAATATAATTTCTTGTACTTGAAGCAACAGCTTAGTATTAATATGAATACTGATTCTTTTGGTTCTACTTTGTTCATATACGTTTAATTTCCTCTGCGTTTTCTTTTTGTTTGATTCATTTTTTTTATGAATACAATCTGCAATGGAAGATATCTTTTCGCTCTTAAATTGCAAACGATTTCATATAAACAAATATAAGATAAAACAACATAGAGATTCCGAACACTGGGCTGCCCCGTGCCGATATACAACCGAAAGTGCACAGGGGGAACCATTCCAGGGCCTTCAACTAACAAAACATGGAATACTCAACGTATCTACTGCAGCTCTTCCATCCCTCATCTATCGGACTTGTGAATACCGATCCATACCGGTTATGCAAAGTTCAAATGCTTGCGGTGGCAGAGATACAAGCCAGGGTGTGCCCCTAGTTCCTGATGCAAGGGTTTCACCAGGCCCTGGTGCAATCTCAGCCTCAACATAGTTATGGTCACCCGTCAGCTTAGCATGTGGAGTACAAATGAAAGATGAGGGGGAAAGCATTTCCCTAACCAAGATTGCTGTCGTTGCACTCACATCTTTCCGGGACAAACCAACAGCTCGGCCACTTAGTACTGCTGGAGTTGGTGGCATAATCTGTGAAGCTCATTACCTTCCAAACCGGTTGTTTCGATCTTCTCTAGAAGAGACATGAATGATTCCATGGTTCTGTTTTGCTCTAAAGTCCATACCATGGAGCTAAATGGTACAACTACTCCAGCAGGAACATGAAACGAAGTAGGCACCCCTAGGTCAATGTAGACCTTATCAGAAACTGCCGCCAAGGAAGCTAAACAACCACAGGCGGCGGCCTTTGCCCCTGATGTTTGTGCATCTGCAAGCAGTTTATGCCCTGCAGAAGAACTACCCTGACTGGAGTAAGGGGGCTTTAATGGCCAATGTCGGATGAACCTTCAAAATTTTTAAGCTTTAACGGCCAATGCCAGATCGAGTGCATGACTTGTGTAATAGCGTTGGACACATATTCGAATGTAATAGTGTATGAAGTATGAACCACCATCTTCTGTCTCTTGTTTTCAGCTGAAACTAAGTCGCCATCTTCATTGTGCTTAGCCAATTCTTCAAATTGGTTTTGTACAAGATGTGTAACATCAGCCTGGAAAAAAAAATCAATAGAACAGATTAACATGATTTACGAGTTGTCTAATGGAATCAAAATTTCAGGAGAAAATGCACTGCAAGGTTGAGTTCTGTCGGGACGCTTTTACGGAAACTTTCGATTCGTAACCAACTAAACTATGTATATTACAACACTGCAAAATTTATGAGATCAGAAAGTTGCTCACAAAATTGTATAGGAAATGCAAACCAGAAAAACAAGGGTCCAAGGAAACTGAAATATTAATAGTACCAAAGAACACCGTTAAGAACTCACTGCAGTTGGATATCAATGCTAGAAGTTGCAGAAAATAAGGCTCGTGAGCGGCAGGATTCGAACCTGCGCGGGCAGAGCCCACATGATTTCTAGTCATGCCCGATAACCACTCCGGCACGCCCACCTTGATGAAATGAAGGTGACTAAGTTTTTATTATTTATAATAGTTTGATTTTTCGTTGTTGATATTTGTGGATTCTTTTTAGTTTTTGGATGACTGCTGGAAGGCTGTTAAGTCTCCAAGTTTAAGTCTTTCTCTCTCTCTCTCTCAGTTCAGCCTCCTCCTACAAACAAGTAAGCACGACACTATCCCTACTCTCTTCTCTTCTAATAATCTCTTGAAACTGCAATTTTCTTCAGTAATGTTTCAAAGTATTCTTCTTTCTTAATGTTTGTCTGGTTCAAGCACCCGATATGTTATTGCTTTAGACTTCGACTTCGAGTTTTTCTCTATCTTCTACATCAAAAAGCCTTTCTTCTTCATGGGTTCCCTTCAAAATCCTTGCTTGTTGAGCTTTTTCCATTGAAAATCTTACTTGCCATTTTTTTGTAATAAGCCAATGTAAATATATACACAGTGTGAGGATAATGAAGGTCATTGAAGAATTTCTACAAACGCCTTATCTACACTTTTTCTCTCTACATTTCATACATTTACCGGTGCCTTTCTCGATCATTGTTCTTATTCCTAATGATCCTGGTTCTTCTTCTTCAATCTATATTTTAATTCAAGGTTTCCTTTATGAGATCTTTCAATTTCATTTGTAAATTACTGCCAATTGTTACTTTTTTATGATTTATGAGGTTTTTTTGTTGAAATAAAATATTAGAGGAACCATTGTTGATATTTTTCATATCAATCTGACAATTTGTGGAATGTAATTTCTTTTTTGTTGATGTAAATTGAGATTTTAATCCTATTTCAAATATGATTTTTTAATTTTAATTTGATTGGTTTAAACAATTGAAAAAGAATTATCAGCTTGTTTTGAGCTTAGTTTGGCATTTGTAGTAGGGTTACAGAATTGTTGTTTAGGAAATTATGGTGAAAATATCCATTTTTGGGTAACTTCAATTAGAAATTTGATATCTATTTGACTTTGTGGTTGTAGTCAGCTCGAACCCGAAACCGGAGTGTTTAACCATATCATAAAGCACTAAGGACTATTTGTGGGTGCTTTCCATCTGATCAACAGTGTTCATCCCCAAAAGTTTTTCTATGGTTTTGCAAAATTCCTCTGAAATATTCACCCTTTTTGCTTTTACATGCTCAACTTCTTAAGTGATCTTAGAGAGCCATGAGACATTTTACAAACCACTTTGTAGCTTGTTTAAGGCTTAAGGTGTATGCATGAAATCCGAACCGGTTATTCAACAATTTTTACATTTTAATAACTTTTTGTTAAAGCCTTAAGCTTGATATAACCTTAGTTTGCTTTTTTGTGCCACCACTTGTTCTAGTCAGTGTATTGCAGCTTGCCGATGACCAGTTTGTTGCTTTGCAGACAGAGAGAATTCTTCATGTGTATGATTTCATATCTGAAGTGAATAATTTAATAACATGGCTTCCGCACTGTTTAGAACGATTCAAATCCACTCGTCTTTGCTCTACCCAACTGTGTTATTTAGCAGAAGGAATGGTGTTCTTTACTGCACGATGAAAAGTTCTCAATCTCAAACTGCTACACAAGAAAAGCAGCAGGCTCCCAAAGTCAAAGTTCCACAACATGCTCTGAAGAAAACAGTCGATAAGATCGCAAGAGACTATGAGGCAATCATCGGAATAGAGACACATGTCCAGCTTTCAACTCTCACCAAGGCTTTTTGTAGCTGTCCTTACAATTATGGATCCCAACCAAATACCAGTATCTGCCCCATTTGCATGGGGTTGCCTGGTGCCTTGCCGGTTTTAAACTCGAAAGTGATCGAATTCGCGGTGAAATTGGGACTTGCGCTTAATTGCAAGCTATCTCTAAACTCAAAGTTTGATAGAAAGCAGTACTTCTATCCAGACCTTCCAAAGGGTTATCAAATATCTCAATTTGATATCCCAATCGCAACCAGTGGTTACGTTGATTTGGATCTCCCTCTTGAGTTCGGTGGTGGTCATAGGAAGTTTGGCATTACCCGGGTTCACATGGAGGAGGATGCAGGGAAGTTGCTTCATTCTGGAAATGGGGCACAGGTAATTACTTCTCTAACATGGTAAATTGTTTTTTCCTCTTCTGGAAATGTAATTTGATTCCTTTGCTGGTTATGTTTTGCAGGTTGATCTAAATAGAGCAGGGGTGCCTTTGCTTGAGATAGTTTCTGAGCCTGATATGAGAACCGGAATTGAAGCTGCTGAATATGCGGCAGAATTGCAGAGGGTGGTTAGATACTTGGGAATTAGCAATGGAAATATGCAAGAAGGCTCACTTCGCTGTGATGTAAATGTATCAATTCGGCCAATTGGACAATCAGAGTTTGGAACAAAGGTAATTAGTTGCTTAAAATACTTTGCCTGAATTAATGAGATCCATGGTTAAGAGTTGTTGTGGTTAAGATTTAATACTTTGCTCTGAGATAGTTGCATCATTCTATCACATTTATAGAGCAAAGCAATAGCATGGAGTTCGTAAAATTTTCAGTATCTGACATGGATAATCTTATATTGCAATTGCAGGTTGAAATAAAAAATTTGAACTCATTTTCATCAATTAATAGGGCAATTGATTTTGAGATATCGAGGCAGGCACTACTTCTTAGTCAAGGTCAAGGCGATCAAATTGTACAAGAAACTCGTCTATGGGAAGAAGGCGCCCAGGTTAGACTGCATTTCAGTATCAAGTTAGTGCTACCCTAAGATATATGATTGACCCTTTACTTCGTCGTCACTTATGTACTCCACAAAACTTTATTCCCTTTTGTAGAAAACAGTTACGATGAGGAAAAAGGAAGGACTTTCTGATTATCGATATTTCCCTGAACCAGACCTCCCCGAAGTTATTCTCACTCAGGAATATGTCGATAGCATTCTCAACTCTTTGCCAGAACTTCCCGAAATGAAGCGTCGTAGGTATGAAATATGGGGCTGAGCATGCAAGATGTTCTTTTCCTGGCAAATGACATGAATGTAAGTCCTCGAAGTACTATTTTTTGTTCATAATGGCTGGTAATTTATCCGAATGCGAACGGATATGTCTAAGAAACAAAAAGGAGAGCTCCTATTGAAGTCCCCTTGTATTGTTGACATTAACGGAAACATTAGAACTTTAATGTTTTAACATGTTGTAGCTTCCTGTTCTTAAAATTATCTTGTTTGGGATCATAAGAAAATGATCTAAATTGGTTTTCTTTTCCACGTTATCCATGTCTTAGGTTGCAGAATATTTTGATGCAACTCTTTCAAGCGGTGCCGACTTAAAGCTGGCTGCCAACTGGATCATGGGTGATATTGCTGCCTATGTGAAAAACGAAAAGCTGACCATTAATGAGATCAAACTTACACCAGAAGAGCTAGCGGAGCTGATAGCTTCCATTAAAGGTGGGACTATCAGTGGAAAGATTGGAAAAGAGGTAAAAGCTTTCTTTCTTTTACCGGGTGAAACAGTTCAAACTTCCGAGCCTGGCAGCTGTTTGATTTGCAGATACTAAACAAATGAGTGAGAAAGGGGAAAAAAAAGAAAGTCGTTTCGGCTTATTTCAGTATAAAAACCTTTTTCTTTGTTAGTGATATCGTTTTTAAACAATTCCTCCTAAAACATGCAGATACTGTTTGAGCTGCTAGCCAAAGGTGGAACCGTCAAGGGACTCATAGAAGAGAAGGACCTCATTCAGGCAAGTTAACGCATCGACTCCTTTAAACTTGAATGTCCGTCTCTTAAGATTAACCCAAAGTGAAGTTTTGGTTGAACTGAACCCAAATGAGCAAACATTGAAATGTTTTGGTGAAAGCCGTAACTTCCAGCTTGAATGTTGAAGTTTTACCGCTTCTCATTAAATGAGCATCTGAATGGTAACTTGGAGTAGCTCTAAGCGATATAAAGAGGAGGACATGGCATAAGCCCCAATCCAAATAATCTGATACCTCATATCTTTGATATTTTGTATTGAAAAGATGGTTTACTAGAGATTATGAAACATATGTTCCAACATTTGCAGATAGTTGATCCTGATGAGATCGGGAAAATGATAGATAAAGTGATGTCAGAGAATCCGAAGCAGCTAGAACAATACCGTGGCGGGAAAACTAAGCTACAAGGCTTTTTTGCTGGCCAGGTACGTTAAATTTACACAAGTTGCATTTCATTTTCTTGTATGAATTTATAGGTAGTTCCCTTTTTGAAAATAGTGACCATTTGCAGGTAATGAAACTATCAAAAGGCAAAGCGAACCCTGGCCTATTGAACAAAATCCTTCTGGAGAAATTAAACGCGAAAAGCTGAAGGTTTTATAGGTACGTATCTCTGCATCTGTCCTTTAGACGAGTCGTTTGATCTCTTAAACAAGGTTAGAGATACAAATCCTGACGTTGTGGACGGAGAAAACGAGTAGTTATACCAAAAAACAACTTATGTATACAAATGCATGTGCACTGATACATATTTGCTTTTGAACTACGTTGCCATAACTTTTTGTTTTTCATGCTGTACTTGTGTCCAAAACATATTCGAACGTAAGTATAGACTATGATCCTCCAAATATATGGAAAAACTTCGAATATAATGAACGTTCCCGTCTCTGATCGATACTAATATTTGACATTCACAGGCTAACAGCCAAATGAGCCATGTGTGTTGATACAGCAACGGCAAACACCAAGGTGGAGGAACATATTGAAGTCTGAGTCATTTGCCGAGTTTTCAGTACTGAGTTCATATAATACTTTGCACCATTTTGTAGATTAAATTAAATTAGATCCTTTCTTTTGTGTATCAATTGGAAGGAACAAATGGTGTTTAGACCAACAGATGCCCCTTGTATTTTGACTGATTTATTTTAGCAAATAAGTAATGTCTTTGCTCATAAGATGATGCTTCCCAAACTTTTATAATCATTATTTGATATATTCAACTTTTATTATTTAATATCCGGTACCTGTTGTTCTTATTTGATATTTAATAACACTTAAAAAAATTATGAACTTATATAAACTTGTCGAGTCCGGATCTCATGCTCATCTCTAATTGTGATTACTAACCATTATGTATGAACTTGAATAACAGTATCTTTTATACTTTCAAGTACTGTGTAAATAAGCTTAGTTTGAATAATCAAGGTTTTGTTTGTGATCGTTTATTTATTTTTGAAGATGTTCATGTTCGGTTTGAATTCGTTTGTTTATTTTTAAATGTGTTTTTTTCGTTTAGCATTCGTAAACAAGTTCATTTATAAGTTTCGTCAACATGTTCATTTATATGCTTAGAAACTAGTGAAAATTAAAAATGGTAATATTATATAAATAGTCCTTGAGCGCCTTAGGCTACAATTTGAACTCCAAAATCTATTATATGTTCAATTCAATCTCTGTCTTCATCAATATTTAAATTTAAAAAAACTAAAGGAAAATAATAACGTGATAAACGAGTCGATAAACAAACTTATAAATGAATTTTTAAACGAGTTTGTTTGTAAATATAAATGAAATGAATACACTTATGTTAGTGTTCATTATTTTATTAAATGAACATAAATATTTTATTCATACGTGTTTATTTAGTTTAATAAACAAACGTTATACGAACAATTAATCAATTGGACTATTCTTATTTGAGACCAAATTCGAGACTTTAATCTTTATTTTTTTTGGAATTGACCAGGTCTAGTGGATTCACCAAAATTAGCAAAAACAAGCAGAGAGCGGTGATGAAAACCCCAGAAATAGCTCAAGGCTATCAATCACAAAATCAAAGCAAACCATTTGTTAAAATGGTAAACTTTCATGAAAATCTCACCACCACCACCAAAATGGCAGCCTCATATTACGTGCCATTGTTTCCACTTGAACCTCAACCCTCTCTCTTTCTGGCGCGTTTTTGCTGCTGGTTTGAGGGCCATTAATGGTGACTCCACCGGCTCGGAAAGTATTGGTGGTAGCTGACCCTACCCCCCATTCCGCGGCGGCCCTCCAATACGCACTTTCCCATGCATTGCTCGAACAAGACGAGCTCATCCTTTTCCATGTCGAGAATCAATGCACATGAGCACGTTGTCTACTTTCCTGAGGCGGCCGAGCCTTGCTTCGGGCGCCGGTCCCAGTGCCATTCCCCCGGTGCCCATTTTCGGGCCCGATACGGCTTACGTGAATTTTCTTGAGCAGATGAATACGCATGCGAGAATATACCTGTGCGTATAGAGAAAACTGACATGGATCATGGTAAAGATAAGGCTCATGTCATCCTTTCTAAATCCAAAGATCTTGGAATTGATCTTCTTATCATTGGCCAAAAACGAAGTCTGTCTTCAGCCATCCTTGGGTGAGTTCCATGTCCTTCTCCTCTATCTCCTTTCCTTTAAAATTCGTAGTCGACGATAATTAGCTTCGGTTATAATTCATCCTTTTTAATTTGAACGAAAATGATATCAGTTACAATGGCCATGCGTGATAGGCATTTTAAGTGCATAGATAATGACTCTTAAATGCTCACCATGGTTTTATGCCACTATGATTAACAGTTTTTTTGTCTAAATTAAAAGAGATAAATAGCGATCGACTAACTAATCTATCATCTTTTTTACTTGTTCGATCGCTTTTAATCATTATCTCTTCTGCTATACATTAACAAGTATAGAAGCTTTTGATTTAGATAGAAAATACCGGTTATGGTGGCCTAAAACCGCGTATGATAATCATTTTGAGTGCATACATGATGAACTTATTAATCAATTACAGTTCATTCCTTTTGATTTAAATAAATAAACGTTTATGGTCACGTAAAATCCATGCATGGTAGGCATTTTGAGTTTATATATATGATAAGTTGATCAACTAGTTATAGTTCATCCTTTCGCTTTTAACAGAAAAACACTAGCTATGGTGACCTAAAACATGTGTGCCGTAGGCATTTTGAGAGCATAGACGACGACTCTCAAAATGCTCACCGTGGTTTTATGTTACTATGATTAACATCCAAATCAAAAGAGGTAAATGATGATCGACTTACAAATCTATCATCTTTTTTAAGTTATTCGACCACTTTTAACCACCGTCTCTCCCGTTATAACATCGGGCAACATTCTTAAACACTTGTTGACGATGGTTTCTCCGTTCGCAGATACAAGCGGCCGGCCGGGAATTCTAAGGCATCGTCGAAACTGTTAGACACGGTAGAGTATTTGATCGAACAGCCCATGCACGTGTTGCAGTGCAGAAGAAGGACAAAATGGAGGCTATGTCCTCAACTCCAAGACTCAAAAAAACTTCTGTTTAAAAAGCTTGTATATATAAAAGAGAGATTTATTTATATTAGTGAATTTATATACGAGTATAATTTTGATTATTAAGTTAAACAAACGAGTGTGAATATAATTTTTATGTTCGTTTAATAAACGAACAAAGACGAACTGTTTGTGTTTGTTTATTTTCACGAACAATGTCTTTTATCAGCTCGTTCATCCGATTCTCTTTTTTCTTAACATTTTAAATATTGATGAAGGTAGAGACTAAATTGAACACACGATGAGCTTTAAAGCTCAAATTGTGAAGTTTAAGGAGTTTAAGAAATAGTTGTGTAATTTAACATTTTTCTTTGACTTGCAAATAAAAAATAGAAATAGAGTGTTGGTTGACGTTAAACTAATATATTCGTTGACGTTAATAATGAATTTAGTACTTAAACTATCAGTTTGGTACGTTTTAGTATTTAAACTTTAAGTTTTTTTCCAACATACCTAAAACTTAGTTTTTATTTTATTTGAATACCCATGTTTAAAATTTAATATTAAGTTTTAAAAAGAAACTGAAAGTTTAAGTACTAAAACGGATTAAAACGATAATTTATGTATTAAACGTGTTAAGTTTTTAATAATAAGTTACTAAAATTAAACAAGAATTAGACGTTAAATATGATTTTAAAAAATAAAAATGTATGTATTAAAACAGATCAAATTAAAAGTGACGTGTAGACAAATATATGTTCTTATTTGAAAACATACACTGAACAAATAGACAAGTTTTGTAGCACAAGTGTTCTCATCTTTCTAAAAACACTCATAATGTTCTTTGGACCCGAGTTACCTATAAATAATATATGTTCTTATTGAAAATTGAATCACGAGTTTAATATCATTTAAGTAGATTTCGAGTTTTACGTATTAAAATTAGATGTGAAATATGAATTAATTCAAGCTGACGAAAACTTGAAAAATCGAGATTGAAAAAAAAAACTGCAAAAGGCTTCTTTGAAAGTGTCACTCAATTCACGTCTTCAACAGGAACTGTGTACTAATATGTATAATCTGCAACATCGATCTCTGCAATAATTTTGGGTAAAAATCAGTGAGTCAAAACTAAGAACCATGCATCATAATCAGACATGAACACAAGTATACTTTGCAGTCAAAGTTAAAACAAAACGGGGATGAAGTATAATTAGGAACCAAACCACAAAAATTATACAAAGAGAGAAACCAAAAAAAATGGAGATACAACAATCATGGAGATTAAGATTATCGTTCAAGAATGCGACCATAGCTTTGAATATCTTCAATCTCTTTGTTGCTCTCTTCTTGCTTCAACGGTTTCTTTCTTCTACTTCCTCTCGCACCAGATCATCTTCTAATCAACCCAATTCAGGTTCCCTTTTTTTATTATTTCTTTTGTGTTTTTGTGTTTTTAGTTGCATGTGTTATTGTTTGGATCTGAAATTTGTTGGATTTTGGTTGAAGATGTGATCTTATGGACTAACTGAGCTAAACCCAGGTTTTTTCTTTGATTTGAAACATTGGGTTTGATGATTTTGGCATTTTTTTAGAGGGAAAAACTTGGGTGGTTGTTGATTTTGCTTGTTCTGATGAAGGTGCTGCTTCAGCACGTTGTTCTTTGTGTTTTGAGGGGGATTTGGGAAATTTGGATCATGAGTATTTGTTTGATTTTAGGGTTTTGATATTGGAAGTTCGAATTTGGGTTTCGTTTGCGAATTGGGATTTCTTCAGGGTTTTGGATTCTGAATTTGTTGACGCTGGTTGATAGGTTTTGGGGATTTTGTGGCTTTTGCATTCATCGGGAGTTGCAAATTTAGGGTTTTCATCTGGTTTGAAATCCGAATTCATCCTCATTTAGCTGGGTAGATTCTCTCATGTTATTTGATCACCTACATGAAAATCCATCTTCTTCAAAGCATCAAGTGTATGTCAACTATATCCGGCATGGTAATATACGAAAAAAGCTTAGAAAGAAATCAATATTTCGTATCATACATTCATCCGAATCCGGATAACATAGTAAGAAAAGGTAGATATCTTGCATCTCTCCCTCTTGGATGAGGTTTTACCCCAACGAACAAACTGCTGAAGAATGATAGAAACTGGCCTTTTTGTTTTGATTACTTCTCTATTCATGATTGTTCGTGTCTAAACAAACGTATCGGTTAAAGTTTTCAATGCAGCCGGCTTCGATTACGTTAAGGAAGCTGAAGATATGCGCATTGCTATGCAACCTTTCAAGCTGATAGAAAGAGTAAGAATACCATGAACTCTAAATCTCTGCTTCAACTCATCGAGTACATAAAGCAATGCCATATATAAACAGTTGCTCGTATTTAGGTTTGTTGTTCGTATTCTTCGTTTTTCTTAAAGTATTTGCATCTGGAATTCATGTCCTATACGTATTAAAGTATTTGCAGTCGACACTTACACAGTTACACCCGAGTTTGAGTACATAAGCATTTACTTTACTATTCTCCCCTCTTGTTTATACTATGGTACTTGGATTCTATTGCGGTATCAGATACGGGGTATATCCGACATGCACTTCGATTTTTTCGTACGTTTCATGTGTTAAGTGCAGATACTCAAAGAAAAATGAACCGAATCAACATAGATGGCGATAATTAATTCCCCTAAAATGGGTATCTTGCATAATTGAGATTAACTGCAGAAGTTTGTTGAACAATTACATATAGTAGAAGATGGTGTTCTTCATGGTTAAATTTTCGGGTTATTTTAGGTTAAGGAGATTCAGCAGGAAGCATACACCGATCCTGAAACAATCCAACAGAAAGATGCAAAGCAGACTGCCGCAGTCGATCTTTCCAAAAGATTACAGGATTTCCGTTCCATAAATGATGCTTCTAGCTTGAAAGGTGATTGGCGTTTCTGTGTGTGAAACAATGTTTGATTCTGATACTTTATGAAAAATGAAAAATCCGATCTTGTCAAGGATCGTGGCAAAGCATTTTCCTTAAGTATGATTGTTTATTGCAAATTTGCAATCAATCTAACGACATTTGCAGCTTTAGAAGAGTGGCGGAAAAGGAAGATGGAGCGAGCTCGACAAAGGGAGCTGGAGAAAAATGGAACCCAAGTCACCAAAGAATAAAGACGGAACCAGAGGTGAAACCGAATGATCTTTGGATCTTCGGTTTTCTAAAACTGATGGTCATCTCTCGAGCTTAAGCAGCCCCCGTCATATTGCGGGACAGAGACATGAATATAAGTAGGCGATGTAAGAACATGAAAGAAATAACTCCATAGATGTGGATATATACCACTGATATACTGTAACACCATTGAACTTTGTCGTCGATTGTACCCGGACATGAATATAAAGGTAAGAAATCGAATACAACCATTTCAAACATATACTCGTATCTCGATACTAACGGATAAATGATCACGTTAGAACAGACAATTCGATTACACCTTAATGTAAAGTAGAAAACAAAAGTGATTCTCTTTGAATTCATTCATATTGAGAAGATTCAAACGAAAGAAACACTGGAGATTTCAACTTCAAATACATCAATACAATTCCTGTACAAACATGACCTTTCTCAACCTTCACATACATACACGTCGGTAAAAGAGGAAGACTTAAGTTTAGGGTTCATAATACGATTCATAGTACGATCTTACAAAAGCATACTGCGACTTTTGTCAAAAAAGATCATAAACTGATGTCAGCAGCATATTGCAGTAGAAACCAGAGGTTTCCCTACGTTGTAACGATCGACAGGGATGGACCTAACACAGAAACTTGGTAAAACCATGATTCCAGGGTGGCAAAAAACAACGTTCAGAGGAAGTGGTGAGGTACAAAATGTTCAAAGAAAGCTGTTTTAGATGCATTGTTCAATCTGATCTGCACCTGCAGAAATTCACTTAAGTGAACTGCTAATAGACATAATGAACTTACTATAATGACAACATGGCTACAACAAACAGTTTTAGATGCATTGCCTGATCCCCACCTGCAGAAATTCAGTTAAGTGAGCAACATATGGCATTATCAAGAAACAAATTAAGAGTTGATTATTACATTCTACAAAAGAAACTTATGCTTTCCTATATAGGTCATTTGATGTTAATGTTTCACATAACAGATGATCTGACAATCCACTGTCATACTAAATGGTATGAACTTCATCATTTTTTTAAACTAGAAAAGGGGAACAAAACAAAATGCGGTTAGGAGATGAGCAACTAATTCATTTAGCAGTATTACGCGTCAAATGTTCCATCCTCCTGCAAATGGACTACTACTGGATGCATACACCCTGAAGTTGCACAAAGGAATAAATTCCTAGCTCCTACAAACAAGCATGACAAGCAACTAGACTATAAGAAAGCATGAGAAATACAAAATTAACAGCAACATCTAAAGATAAGACGGGTATGCCACAAAATATCATGATTTTAACTGAATATACACACTTGTAAACGCTTGCAACAACTGGAGTGGAGCTCACCTCAGTATATCATGTCTCACTTGCCACGCTACACCACATCAAAATCCAGAAATCATCTTAGATATTTAGTTACAGATAGAGAGCTTCCCAGCCCATTCATCAGCTACACCATAGTCTATGCTAAGCTCTCTCAAAGGAGGGATATTCTCCATTGCAAAAAGCATAAGGTGAGGGAACATCAAGTTGTTGTGATCGTACAACACACACTGCACCAGCACGTTCGGACTGGAACTATGACTAATATAACAAGCAACATTCCTCATCCTTGAGACATCCATTGCAAATCCAAAGGCGGAATTGAGGGATATGCTGGACACACATATTCTGGAAATATCCTAGACAAGTCCCCCCATTCTGCCCATCGTTCAGAAAAGCGATTGGGGTAAATTAAAGTATCGCCATTCATCTTGAAAACTTCAGCTTGGTCCCTCGTGAGAACAACACCTGTGTATTCACATATAAAAGCACCTGCTTCTATCAGGTCCAAGGACCTCACTCCCCAGCCCGTTTCCCTTGACCTAAATATTTCCAACCTATTTCTCAACCCATGCTGTGCAACGCGGTTCCGACAAGTTGGTGGGCACTGACAGAAATTCCCACATTCAAATATCACCGGTTTGCCTCTCAAAAGAATCCCACTGTGATCATAGGCAAAATCACCTCCATTCTTCATAGCACAGAAACACCCTTCCGTGCACCCCGAAAAACACTCACATCCAGTACCATTACTCCCTTGACCAAATGTGTTAAGAGGAAACACAGTGTTCACAAGATAATCGTAATACATAGGATCATGATCACTATCGATATCGTTGTAAAGGAAGATCGGAACTCGTTCTTTTTTCATGGAAATGTCAAGAGTCAAATACCCCGTTGGCCTAGCAGACAAAGGCCTAGTCCTAAGACTCTCGGCAAACCTCATTATCGAGCTACCCATCTCAGGTTGTCCCTCATTCTGGATAGCCTAAACTTATAAACCCCAAAACCCGACTTCCCCACATCAAACCAGCAATCGAGAATCTTATATAAACCATCATACACATAGACTCTAGCCGAAACTTTATTATCATATTTAAGCCCTCTAATCACTCTTACCTCAATCCCATAATGCATACTCCTTTCTAGTGCCAAATTCCCTCCCTCAAGCTTTTGATGCATACATTGCTTCCCGAACTTATCTTGTCCACCTTGACCGGTATAGATTATTGAGTCGCCGGAATCTTCGTCATCCTCGTACCCACCGGAAATAATAATGCTGGTGGCGATTGGCTCTCCACTCGTGCTTTGGCTCGCAGGCAAGGTATCAATCCCAGCTTGAATTTGTCCATGTAAACCCACCACACAAAGCTCCATTCTGAAGAAGAATACGTCACCAATTTCAATACCCGGGAGTGCACCCACTATTCTTTTATCTCGATTTAACCACAGTTCCCGATCCCTCATGACCGCAGCCGCCCTCAAATCGCCGCGAGCCCGTCGGCCGTGTCCCCGTCCTGTTCTCTTCTCTTCCTCCGAAATGACTAAAATGCGGAGGGCATCGTATATCATTCGGGTTCTTCGGAAAAGGTCCCGGAAATGCCTCTGATCTTCGAATCCTAAATTTGTAACCCGAACCAGCTCATTGGATCTCCAGGCCTTCTTACGTGAAACGACGACGGACAAAGCTCGTTCGGGGTCGGACCTGTCGGTCGGGCTGGTTTCGGAGGTTAGTTGAGATTGTTCGGGTACGGGTACGATGGCCCGAGAATCCGGGTCAAGTACCTCAAAATCGCCGTACTTTTGCAACCTTTCGGCGAAGCAGATCGGAAGAGCTCGGAGATACGGAAGTATTCGGAATAAAGGGCGTTTTGGTCATCGGAAGAGGAGGAAACGTTGGACGGAGGGGTAGTTTCGGGATTGGGAATGAAATCAGGGGTAGAATTGGAAACGGAAAAGAGGAAGTTTCCTTGTTGGTGAATAGTCTGGGTTGCTGTTGGTTCGTCGAAAGGTTCTTGTTTAGGCTCAACCTTAGGAGCTAAGAAATTGAAGGTGGTTGTGGTGGAGGAGCTTACGGCGGAGGAGGTTGGGATGGTGGCGGTTAGCGGTGGTTCTGGGCAGAGATTGAGGTCTTGGAAAGGCATGAGAGAACCCATTTGGCAGTTAGTTGAGCTTAAAAGGAGACGTTAAAGTCTGAACGGATTTAGTTGGTGTTTCTCAGGTGCTCCCATGGCGGAATATGGTAGGCCGGGTGATACAAACAAGACGTTTTCTTTTCATTTGCAAAGAAGAAAAAAATGTGGTCCAAGGTTATAGCGATTGGATTGATAATGAAGTACCAATTTGTTATTAAATTATGATAAAATATTAGTTTTAATTATAAAATAGAAGATAAAAAATATCAGATGTAATTTAAAAAAATTAATTTTTTATGTGACTTTTCAATTCAGGAGGTAAATCTAATATTGTCATTTAATTAACGTTTTTTTTTTGTCGATCATTATAATATTGATATGATATTTTATTGTGTTGATGTGACGATTAATGATATTAATATGATAGTTTATGGTGATTGATAATGTGACAGATAACATGATATGATAGATGAGTTAAATTGTTAACTCAAACATGGCAAATGGATTAGGGATGAGCATCAGGCCCAAGCCTAACTCGACCCGAGCATATCAATTTTTTTAAAAAAATTGAGTTTGGGTCGGATCTTGTCGAGTTTTTTTAATGTTATATTCGGGTTGGGTTAGGTTCAAATTTTGGATAAAAAATACCTAACCCAACCCGACCCAAAAACTATAATTTTACATTTATATATTTAGGGATAATGCAATAATATTTCACTATATATTATTTTATTTCATTTAAATCTATATTTTTATTGAATAAAAATAATATTTTTTAATAAATATATTATTTTGAGTTGGGTCAGATTTTATCTTAAAAAATCGGGTCGGGTTCTGGTTGGGTAGAATGTGTTTATTTTTCGGGTTGGGTGGAGGATTCATAATTTTTAGTACCATGAACTGTCACGTCAGCATTGTAGTGACCAAACGACAGAAAACATTGATCAAATAACCACATTAAATTTATTTTATGAGTTGGATTAGGGTTGTAAATGAGACGAGACAGATCGCGAGCTACTCGAGATCCACTCGGTCAAGGCTCGATAAATACTCGGATCGAATGGACTTGACTCAAACTCGAGCTAAATTTGAACTCGAGCTAGACTCAAATTCCTAATAAGCCGAAACGAGCTACTTAATACTCGACTCGAAAAGTTCGTGAGCAGCTCAAAAATATAATATATTAAGATTTTATTTTTTAAAAAATAAATTATTAATAATATTAACTTTTATGTGTTGATTTTTTTTAAAATACAATAAGACTTTCATGTATTTAAGGTTCAGGTTCGAGTTTGAGGATTCGATCTTGTTAAGTTTAAGAATTTTTTTTTTCATTTTGAGCTGCTCACGAGGTTCAGTTCAAGATTTCGAGTTCGAGTCGAGCTTAAAACTTTTAATCTAGCGAGTTTTCGAGTCTAGTCGAACTCAGAAATACTCGAGCTCGACTTGGCCTGTTTACACCCCTAAGTTGGATGACCACCTTAAAAGAAAAGCAATACAAACAATTAAAAAAACAATACAGATACTAAGAGGCTGTTTGTTTACTGAAAATGATTAAGCGTTGAATGATTCAAATTCTGAATGATTCAGAGGCTCTGAATGTTTTGGCTCTAAATGTAACATGTTGTTTGATAACTGGCTCTGAATGATTCAGAATGTACTTCTGTACTGAATCATTCAACACTGTTTTACTGAATCAGTCAGTACTAAATCATTTAGAGATGCGAAACAAATGCGCTGAATATTGAACGGTTCAACATTCAGCGCTGAATGATTCCATTAG